CTCTGCCACTAAACCACATTCCCACCCCCTAGCCAAGTCTCCCTTTCTAACAGCCCATTCAGCTATGATAAGATTACTTCCTTCATGATACAATCATCTCTCAATTGCTTCACCAGCTGGGGACCAAGACCTTAACTCGAGTCTCTGGGAATGGGGGAGAGACAGGAGTACTTTTACATTCAAACAATATAGGTAGTTACCACATAAAAATTAAAATTTAAAACACATTTTATTAACTACCTACCAATAATATATTAACATAAATATAATTTTATGGAAAGTATTGTTTCCAAAATTAAAATTAAAATAATCTCTCAAACCACGAAGGGCATTGCTTTATGTTATCACAAATCTCTCTAATGTGTGATTTAATAAAATATCAGTAGGTCATCATGTCTTCTGTTTCTAGTATGTGTGACATGGTGAGTCACATAGCTCAGTTATGTGAGAGGGAGTGAAAAGAGAAAATACTGTTTCACATTAGTGCCAAAACAGTAGAGATTGCATGGACTCACTAAAAGGTCTTCAGACCTCCAAGTGTCTTAGCTCAGGCCTTTAGAACCATTGGCCTGGTCAATATGATAACTAAAATACATATTAAGCATTTACCTAGATTACCTAGATCATTTACCTAAGCATTTACCTAGATCACCTCTGTAGATTGCATTCTGAATGTTTATGCCGACCCAAATTGATATGCCCAAATCTTTACTCCAGTGTATTGCTGTTACGATGCGAGGCCTTGCAGAGGTGATTAGGTCTAGAGAGTGGAAATTTCATAGATGGGATTTGTGTCATATAAAAAAGACCCCAGTGAGCTTTTGTTTTGTTTGTTTTTCCCTCCCTAGAGGACTTCATAGGTTCTCGTTTGACCCATGAGGATCAAGTTAGCAAGGTGCTACCCATCTCAACCTCACCAGAACCTAGCCACCTGGCATCCTGCCCCACAACTTCCAGCCTCCAGAACGAAAACAGATGTCTGTTGTTGATAAATCACCCAGTCTGTGGTACTTTGTTACAGCAGCCCAAACTCTTAAAAAAAATTGCCCCAATTTCTGTGTCCTGGTATACCTCCTTGTTTGGAAACTTGTGAATATAAAGTATTGTTACTCCAAAGATTAGGCTATGTATGTAACACAGTTAACTATCATGGAGGACACTAGAGTAGTGAAAAAGTACATTTAGTTAAGAGGTTAGAGTTCATTAGATTAGTTAGGACACACAACTTTTCGAGAACATCTTGCTGTGAAAAGCACTGCTGGCTTGAAGAGCTGAGAACAGAAAGAGAAATGCAAGTTGTTTCAAAAACTTAGCTGTAGAGAACAGAATGTCCCATTTCTATTTTTCTTTGTTCCTCACAATCCTATTTGGGGGAGTGGGAGAAAAGGGTGCAGGAGAGAAACAAAATTGAGAACTATAGTTTCAGATCTGCAGACTTGCAGTGACTCTGCAGGTTTTCACTGATTGATCAGTTGTCCTATGCTTCATTTGCATAAGGATAACCAATCAGAGCACAGCACAGGGTATAAAAATCCCTAGACTCAGAGCTAGACAGAAAGCAGATTACACAATGGACTGATTTCTTTCAGTTCCTAAGAGAAGACCCGGAGAAGGCTACAGCAGCAGTATTGGCAGTGGAGCTGCAACACTGGCAGGCATTGCCTGCTGCAGGGCTGCAACCCTAGTGAGCTACTACTGACAGCTATGGAACCAGAATGGCTGCAACTTGAATGGGCCTTTCCCCCACCATGAGTGAAAGCACAAGAAAACTCTGTACCTTCAGGGCTGGACCTAATCAAGGAACCCTTTCAAAGGGACCAGGTCACTCCAGAAGGAGAAATTGGAACATGAAGGGAGGTTCACAGCACACATAAGGTGCTCTGGTCCTACTTCAAAGATGGAGGCAGTCACAGGCAAGGAAGCCAGGCAGCCTTATGGAGCTGTTACTGGCCTTGCCTTTTGGCAAAGGGGAAATAGTGAGCTCAGTTCCACAGCCACAGGAGCTGAATTTGGCCACCACTGAATGAGTTTGGAAGGATCTCTTCCTCAGAGCCTCCAGAAAGGAATATGGCTTAGTTATCATCCAATTCAGCCTCTGATGCCCTGAGCAGGGACTCACTGATCATTTGGCACCTAAACTTTGGGTCTCAAAGTGACCCTTAATTGCCATCTTGACTGGGTTTTCATCTTTCATTAGAAAATCAAAAATAGCTGTGTCTTTAGCAAAGAGTTTCAAACTAGTTCCCAAAATAGCCAACTAACCACTGAGAAGGTTAGCAATGAAAGCGGTAACCATTTGGGGGAATAGACTTGGGGCACACACCTGAGATTGGTCAAAACCAGTCTCCTTTAATAGTGGATCACAGTGCCCACATGTGCATAGTAGGACCTCATTGTCAGAAAAGTAGCTCCTAGCTACTGGAAAAGCCATCAGAAGCAGCTTTGATGACTGGCTGTCACAGAGAAACTCTCCTCAAACACATTTGTCCTTCAGTCTTGCAGAGCAAAGGGCTACAACCCTCTTTTTTAACTTTTAAAATTTTTACTGTTATTGTAGAGTTGATGTAGAGAGGGATTACAGTTGTATGAATCAAGCAATGAGTACAATTCTTTTTGAAACATGTCTCCCCCTCTCTCTCTCCTCTTTTTCCTTCCCACCGCACTCACAAGATGTACAGTTCATTTTCCACAGTGTCTAGCGAGTACCACTGTTGTATGTATTCATCCTTTCTTCCACCTTTCCTGTGCCCCCTTACTCTCCCAAATACAAACAAACAAGACAAAAGAAAATAAAACAAAAACAGCAGCAACAGCAAAATAATCTGTTTCCTTTTCTTGGAGTTCTTAATAAAATATTATTTTATATGATCATATGCACATAGCTATTGAGCCTTTGTCACCATTCCTATGCATATTCTTCTTTGGCCTCAGTGTTCTAGATAATTTATCATGTCCCATATATTATACATATATATGTACATAAATATATATATATATAAAACATTCAGTGTGTTTACTTGTGGGTTTATAGATACATTCTAGTTACTACAAATGAGGGAAACCAAACCATGCAACCTGTGTTTCTTTAGCTCTGGCTTACTTCACTTAATATAATTTTTTCCCAAATCTTTCCATTTCCTTATGAAATAGTACAATATCATTCTTCCTTTTTTAATTTAAATTTTATTTTAAAGGTGATGTACAGAGAGGTTACAGTTACATAGTAAAGTACTGAGTACATTTATTTTTGAACAGTGTTACCCCCTCCATCATTTTCTCCCATTTTGCCCTTCCCCCAAATTGTAAAGTTAATTTCCAATATAGTGTCTGGTGAGTATCACTGTTGAATTGGTTCACCCTTTGTTCCACTATTTCTGTGATTCCCCTTCCTTTCCCTTCCCAAAATAAGATAAACTTATATTCAAGGGTTACAGAAATCAGAAACAGTCACATCAGAATAAACTCAAGGGGAAAGAAAAGAAAAAAATCTGTAAACAGTACAATAAAGAAAACCTCTTGTTTCCATTTCTTGGAGTTCACACAGTGAGAACAAAGAGGATATTCTTAGGAGAGGATCACAATGTTTCAATAGTTATGTGCATATGACTATATAAAATGATGCTTATTGAAATGAACTCCAATATGGTACTTTCTGATGGATGAGTAGAATTCCATTGTGTGTATATATGTGTGTATATACATATATGTAAATGTATGTATACATATCACATTTTTTAATCCGTATTTTTTTTATCCGTTTGTCTGCTGAGGGGCATCAGGGTTGATTCTGTATCTTGGCTTCGGTAAACAAAGCAAAAATTCAGCAAACCAAACAATAAATGGGCTAACGACTTAAAGAGAGACTTCTCAGAGAAGAAGTAAAAATGGCCAATAGACACATGAAGAAATGTTCAACACCTCTGGCTACAAAAGAAATGCAATTCAAAACAACACTGAGATTCCACCTCAACCCAGTTAGAATAGCCATTATCAAGAAAACTAACAATAGCAGATGCTGGTGAGGATTTAGCCAAAAGGGAACACTACCACACTGTTGGTGGGAATGTAAACTTGCTCAATCTAGGGAAAGCAGTATGGAGGTTCCTTAAAAGAAATAAACAGAGCTTCCCTATGACCCAGCAGTCTTAATTCCTATGACGCAGACATTAGCAGTGATTGGCACTCTCTTCCCCATTGTCTGACCTCGCGCTCCCTGACGTCACAGTGGCCCTGACATTTGTAAAGCACATAAACAGGCCCCTTCCCTGCTTGGCCCTTTATGATGGTGGTCTAGCAATCCCGGGCTCCCTGCTTAAGGCCCCAGGAAACCTCACTGTTCATAAACCCTAGATCAGCTGTGCCCATCAACGGGTCAAGGCCCTACCAGCTCACGAGATTCTCAGCCCCCATGGGTTCCCGACGCTTCCTGGCTATCCAGGTAGGACCTTGACACACACTGGGAGCCGGCAGGCGGGACCGGGCTCCACGCCTGCAGCTAGGGTGCACTACCATGTCCAGAGGAGCATTCGTTGGAGTTCCCCTTTCTGGGGGAAATTTCGAGGTGTGCCCTCGGGGAGAAAGAACCGTGCTTTGGGTTCAGGGCTCGGAGCCAGTCTTGGATCTGATCCACAGTCAGTGAGCACCCGTGTGCAAAGGTGACTTCGGAAAGTAGAAATACCCAAAGTTTGCTGGGCAGGGACGGAGCCCATCGTCCCCCCCCCCCCCCCCCCCCCCGCCCAGCCCGCCGCCGGCGCTGGGTGGTGTGCGGCACGCCGTCGGCTCGGTCGCCCCGCGAGGCGCCTCCCCCCGCAGGTTTTCGGGGCGCTGGGCTTTTTGTGACGGAGCCTTGGGTAGGGCGGGAGGAGGACCTGGCGGCCCGGGCGGGCCGGGGGCGGGCCGGGGGCGGGCCGGGGGCCGAGGCGTTGACATCCTCCGCAGCAAGGGGGCGGCCGCGCCCACTTCCTCCGTCCCTCGGCCTTGGGCGGCCGGCGCTCCGCAGCGGCGAGCCGCGTCCCCGCGATCCAGCCCGCGGTGGCCGGGCGGCTGCGACCCCTTGGCGCGCTCCGACCCCGTTGCGCAGTGGACGCCCCGGCTGCGGCGCTTCTCCCGCCGCCCGCATGGACGGGACACTGAAGCGGAGCCGCCCAGAGGAGCCGGCCGAGCTCCCGCCGCCTGCCCGGGACGGGAAGCAGGGGGAAGAGGAAGACCCGGGCATGGAACCGGGGCTGGAGGAGGAAGAAGAGGTGGACCCCCGGATCCAGGTAGGACACGGAGGTGGGGGCGCCCCGCCGCGCGCGCGGTCCCGCCGGGATGGACGCGGGAGTCGGCGGCGTCTACGGGCCGCGATCGCGGGGTGACCTCCGGGTCACCTAGGTCCGGGGACGAGGAGAGAGGGTCTGGATCTCCGTTTCTGTGAGCCCCACGGGAAGGCCGCAGTGCGCGCGTGGACGCGGCCTGGCTTTCCCGCGGGGCTCCCCCCTCAGAACCTGGGGGTTCCGCAGCGTGCCCAGCGGTTCGGGCAGATGTGCAACAAAGGGAAAGGGGGGGGGGCGGGAGCGCCGAGCGGGTTTGGGGTTCTCCAGCCCCAGATCGTGGCAGTGCGGCGGGCACTGCCAGCTCTGCTCAGCCACCTGGCTCTGGGAGCAAGGTGCCCGGGTTGGCGCGGGCACCCTGGCGGCCCGGGGCGCAGGGATGGTGGGCGTCGCCCGCCCCTGCCGCGTGGATGGCACAGCTGGTGCTCGGTTACCCAGCCCTCACCTGGCGGAGGTGCCCGGCCTCCGGCTTTGGTTCATTGTTAGGTTCTCAAGGGGTTTATGATCTTGGGCTCCAGGTTCGCTCGGCCCCAAACGCTTCAAAGCCCTATTTTTCCTTGTTGGTGAGATCGGGTGTGAAGAGAAATCGGGAACAGCTGATGCGCAAAGCTGGCGCGTGGAGGCGGCGGCGGGAATGGCCTGGCTTTCTGCGCCTCCATTTCCAAGAGGGATGATTAAAAACCAATTTCCAGGCTACCATCTAGCAGTGACAACTTAACCTCTTCACCCTCCACCCCCACCACGAAGCACAGCAGATTCCTTTCCGTGACCTGGCTTTCAACCTTCTCATAAACCTTTTTTTTTTGTTGTTGTTGTTTTGTTTTGTAAAATATATATTTAGCTTTTTATGTACACTGCAAATTCTGGACCCCTAATTGAACAGATCAATTAAGAACTCGCAATTCAGCTGTTGGAAATAGAGTAAATGGGTTGATTGGTTTTGGTAGGTTAGTAAAAATAGATTCCTTTTTGCATAATTTCTGTTCTCTAAAATCACTGATTTGGAAACAAAATCTTATGCTCTGGGTGTGAATTCTGTTAGCAGGATCCTTTGTTCCCACAGTAAAGATGAGTTAACTTCATGTTAGGCATTCCTTATACAATGCCAGTTTGTAAATTTTGATAGAGAAAGGGATTAAAGCTATTTTAACAAAACACAGGTTGAATAATTCCCATCTCCTTATGGGAAAATGTTGAACTCTACTAATAAGTTAATGCTAGAAGTCTGTCCTTAGTTTAATGATTTCCCAGGGGTTGGCTTGGCCTTGCTTGTTTTTATTGTTTTCTAAGGCAAGATGGTGCTGTTTTGATGGATTACTCAACTATCTCTTAACTGGTGAGTTTACCATTGGGCTCACACTTGACATATTTGACCTTTTAAAGGACAATTCCTAGGACCTTAAGACATTAACAAAAAGGATACCATCAACAGAAGAAATGTTGACAGTTTGCTCTTCCTGTACAGGCTCAAGAACTTTCCTTCAGAATTAGCTGGCCCTTTTCTCCTGCAAATGGGGCTGGGTGATTTTCACTATTACTAAATAACACTAGAAAGGAAAGACAGATCTCTCACTTCTCTTCTCTTTTCTTCACTAGGGTGAACTGGAGAAGTTAAATCAGTCCACAGATGACATCAACAGACGGGAGACTGAACTGGAGGTATGGAGCTGGACCCCTGTTCTTAGTGAAATAGTGTCCGTTCGCTTTGACTCCAGGCTAGTGAATTTTGTTTTATTAGAAGGAGAGTTCCTGCAGGAGGCCCCTCTTGGGAAGTTAAGCAACAGCACTGGTCTGACAGAATAAATTATACTGCTGTGGGTGGAAGCCATGTGGATCCAATTTCACATGTATTTTATTATGGAAGCGCCACAGGGCCAAAACCCACGGCTGTGCAGATCATTGCACAACAGGTTCAGTCCAAATATCAGTCTGTGGAAAAGCTGAAAGGGCAGGGGGAGGGAGGGCGTGCGGCGGATAGCTGAAATTCAATGGAGAAGAATGAATGAGCTCCCAACATCTCTTAAATGTCTAAAGGTGGTTATGCTTGTGTTTCCTCAGACTTACACTGAGTGTTTTACTTTCCTGTGCTAATAATTCACACCCTCCCTTCCACTTCCCGACTCATTTGTTTATTGTCTGCTTATGTGTAGAATATAATTATCTTAATGTCAACAAAAAGCTGTTTAGACTGGGAAGGGCTTTCCTGCTGGGAAAAATCTTGAGACAAGAACTTGACTTGAATTTCATGAGTATGAATTTCATGGTATAAGCAAGCTAGAATTCTTTTCAGCTACCACTTAGTCCCTGCCACTAGTGGTTGGTTTGACCATTCATAAACCAAGGTGGACAATCCCTGTTTAGATCCGGGAAAGGGGGATTGTCTGATGGAATGTAGGGAGTCCTTGGGATAACATTCCTAAAGTAGGAGAAAAGAGCAACAAAGGCCAATTAAACTGGGTGCCAGTGGCTCACACCTGTTAATCCTAGCTACTAAGGAAGCTGAGCTCTGAGGATCATGGTTCAAAGCTGGCCCAGACAGGAAAGTTTGTGAGACTCTTATCGCCAATAAACCACCAGAAAACTGGAAGTGGCCCTGTGGGTCAAGTAGTACTAGCCTTGAGCTGAAGAGCTGAGGGAAAGCAGCAAGGCCCAGAGTTCAAGTCCCACAACTGACAAAAAACTTCTGTGAATGTTTAATTTTTTCACTTTTGTTAAATTGAGTATCTTTGTGAAGTTGGGAAATTCAAACCTCAGAATCTCACAGTTCTGATGCATTAAATAAAAATGCCCATCATTCCTATAGAGCATTATTATTGACAATTTGTTGTTGTTTCAAGACAGGGACTCATAGTGTAGACTGGCCTGGAACTCTCCATGTAGTCCAGACTGGTTTCAAACTTACCATCCTCCTGCCTCTGCCTCCCTACTCCGGGGCTTAGTTATATATACCACCACATTTGTTTCTCATCCCATCCTGTCCAGAACTGTGCAGTCCAATGTGGTCTTTAAACATATTGACATTACATAATATTAAAAGTTATTCAGTCACACAAACACATTTCAAGAGCTCCATAGCCACTGTATTGGCAGAATATTGCAGAAAATTCTGGAGTATTTGGAACAGCTTGACTGTCTCCAGGTGAGGAGACTCAGAGTCTCATGATTTAATGGCATGGTAGCACCATTTCTCTTGGCCTAACTAGACCTGGATGTTTCCTAAATCATGTCCAGCTGTTCTTCCCCCACCAAAATATGGGCATAGAATTTGGAAATAGTGTGTGTGTGTGTGCGCGTGTGTCTGCACATCTATGCCAGTCCTTGGACTTGAACTCAGGGCCTGGACAGAAGTCATTGAACTTTTTTGCTTAAGGCTAGCACTACCTCTTCCACTTGAGCCACAGCACAGTTTTTAGTTGTTAGAGATAAGAGTCTTAGGGACTTTACTTCCTAGACTGGCTTCAAACTGTGATCCTCAGATCTCAGCTTCCTAAGTAGTTAGGATTAACAGGTGTGGGCCACCTGTGCCTGGCCCAGTAGGTTTTTTTTTTTCTTAAAGCATCTGATTTATTTTGGCAGTGCTGAGGAGGGAACCCAGCAAGTCATTCATGCTAGGTGAGCACTGGTGACACTGATCTATGTTTATCTCTAGCCACTGTCTTGCTTAGTCCTACTGGCAAATTGTTCATTTGTTCAACTCTGTTTAGCCCTGATTTCTGAATTCCATTTGTGAGTGTATTTGTGTATTTTTATGTGGCAGGAAGCCACCAGACAGGTGTTTCCTGCCTGGCTGCAGAACGCACAGGGTGCCCTGGGTGCAGTAAGCTGGTGGGCGTGCTGACAGTGACCTGAGCAGGCTGAGTTGCACCTTTGCCTGGTGTGGTTATAATTGAGACTGACTCAGAAATACAATACAAACCACAAAAGAAATTAAACACTGCCTAGTAGACATATTAAAAAGTAAAAAAGAAAACAGTTGAAATTAATTTTAATGTGCTTTGTTTAACCCAGAATGTTAAAAATATTATCTCAATATGATCGGTATAAAAATAGTCTAGGGATGTAGCTCAGTGGTAGAGTACTTGTCTAGTATATACAGGACTGGCTACATCCCAGCCTCTCTAGACTTTTTTTTTTTTTTTTTTGGTGTGTGTATGTTAGTACTGGGGTTTGAACTCGGGGCCTTAGCTTTTTTCATTCCAGGCTGGTGCTCAACCACTTGAGTCACACCTTCACTTTTGGCTATGTGCTGGTTAATTGGAGATAAGAATCTATTGGATTTGTCTGCCCAGGCTGGCTTTGAACCATGGTCTTTAGACTTCTCTTGAGTGTCTAGGATTATAAACATGAGCCACTGGTATACAGTTATATTTTTATCCTTAGTCTTCAACATTGGTGCATATGTTCCATATTGGTGCACATTTCCATTGGACTCAATACCCACATGTGGCCCTGGGCAGCACAGGTTTACTAGGTATTTCCTGTCAAACTCAAGCTCATGTTGTCCGAGCCTGAAGTAGAGGACTGTGTGTGGGATGTCTGTTTGGTCTTCTGAGCCACGTCTGTCAAGCATTGTGTTAGCCACTGCAGATGGTGTGGTGAGCAAGACAGACTTTTTTTTTTTGGGGGGGGGGGGTCCAGCTGTGGGGACTGAGCTCTGGGCCTGGGCGCTGTCCCTCAGCTCTTCAGCTCAAGGCTAGAGCTCTACCACTTGAGCCACAGTGCCACTTCCGGCTTTTTTCTTTTTGCTTATGTGGTGCTGAGGAATCGAACCCACGGCCTCATGCATGCAAGGCAAGCACTCTACCACTGAGCCACCTTCCCAGCCCCAAGACAGACTTTTCTCTCCGGGAATTTCTAGTTGGGTTGGGCTGAGGAGAGTAAGATGAAGGGTGATTACTGATGGTAAGAAGTATGGCAGGGGAGGGATGAGCTGGGGACCCCTGAGCAGGAGGGTGCCCATGTGCACAGAGCAGAGGAAGCTGGAAATGTGTGTTCAGTGAGTGTGCCACAGGATGTGGGACAGTGAGCTGTTTCAATGTACAGCTCATTCTTGTTATTCACAACAGGTGTGTACTATATGCATGGTAGTTGTAGCCACTGAAATAGTGAATACCAAACCATCTTTCCTAGGAGAAATACAAGGTTAGATTCTTTAAAGCTTCTAGTCATATTCCATTAGCTGATTATATTACCTTTTCTTCCCCCTCCTCTTAAACTCAAAGCCTTGTGCTTGCTAGGCAGGTACTCTACCATTTGAATTATGTCCCCAGCCATTTTAAAGTATTTTTCAAATGGGATCTCAATTATGCTCAGGGCCTGCATGCTATCCTTGGGCTTTTGGCTCAAGACTGGCCATCTACCAGTGAACCACAGCTCTGCTTCCACCTTTTTGGTGGTTAATTGGAGATAAGAGTCTCATGCATATTCCTGATGAGGCTGGCTTCAAACTGTGAGCCTCAGATCTCAGCTTCCTAGGATTATAAGCATGAGCCACTGGCTCCTGGCTTAAGACTATTTTTGTTTGTTTGTTTTACTGCTCTTTTGTGTGTCTGTAAATGACCCTTAGAGATTTTAGTGAGTAGACAAGTTTGCAATATGGAATCTGTATAGCAGTAGAATTGACTGTCTCTCCTTCAGGCCCCTATATAGCCTCTGCTGTGTCCTTGCCCTTACTTTTTGTAGATAATCTGGGGCATTGGACACCTCCCTAATCTGATGAAATTGCACCGATGACAGATTTGTGGCAGCTGCTAATTTGCTCACAGAACATGGCACAGGCCTGTACAGGCATTGACAGGCCAAGATGTTGCTCCTGTGCTGACCTTAAGCATCCTTCTCCTATTGGCTGCTTAAAGAGGAGCTGAGGGAAAGGCCTCTAGGTCTGGCTCTGACCTTATCTAAATGGAGCTGGGTCCTCCTTAGTTCTGATTTGTATCAGACTTACCCAGCTGGTGAAGGGAGGCATCTTTTAACAGGCTAGGCCTTTACCTATGAGCCTGTGATTCCAAGTTAAGAAAATAAATCCCACAGACATATTGATTCATCAGCTTTAACATATTCATCGAGTATTTATTGAGCATTTATCATGTGCCAGATGTACAGGGAGAAAACAGAAGTTCTGTTCTCCTAAAACAGAGGAGGAGGAAAGGATGAACAAGCACAATTCATGCTAGGTCTCACGGTGAGACATGCTAAGGAGAAAAACTTAGAATGGAAGCAGGTTTGTGGATATCTGGGAGCAAAGAGAAGGAGGGGGATATCACGTGCCAGAAACATGTCTACAGAGTGTGAGCTGTAGAGTCACATAGGGAAAGAAATTCCAGCCCCCTGGCCAGGCCAGTGCTGAGGGGGGAAGGGTGGCAAGTGGCTGGGTCTGGCTAAGGCAGCGAAGGGACTGTGTGCCAAGAACGTGTGTGTGTGTGTACGCGCGCGTGCGCGTGCGTGCGCGCGCGTGCCCCCACACACAAGATAGATTCTTCTGGGCCTGTGAAATGGGCAGGGGACTGGAGGAAGGAGGAGGAGGGTTGTGTTACTGTGTTTGACTCTTCTGGAGTATTCTGCAGTTCTTTTTCAGCCTGCTCTCTTCCCTCGGGAGGCAGAGCAGTTAATTGGCAATGTTTATCATCATTTCTCACTGTTCTTTCTGGGTAGTTTGCAGG